GAGATTGTTTTGGTTGATGCATGAACTGACTTAGTATATCGATTGCATAACTTATGTCAGGTCTTGTCATGGTGAGATAGATGAGTCTTCCTACGAGTCTCTGATAAAGAGATGGGTCTTGTAACAGAGGATCATTTTCTGAAGAGGCTGTCTCATGTCATATTGTTGTGATGTGAGTTTGATGTTTGTTCCACAAGAATGATGCTCGGTTTGCATGTTGATAAACCAGAGTCGGACACAAGTTCTAAAACATATTTCCTTTGACTTAGAGAAATACCTACCGCGGATCGTGCAATCTCGATGCCCAAGAAATACTTTGGTTCCCCCAAATCTTTTATACGGAAATATTTGTTGATATGCTCTTTTAAGGTCTGAATGCCATTCTCATCGTTCCCAGTGATTAGAATATCAACAACATAAATAATAAGAGCAATGATAGTGGTACCTTTGTGCCATGTGAAGAGAGAGTAGTCATGCTTGGATTGAGTGAATCCCATGTTTGTTAGAGCCTTTGTGAATTTTACGTTCCATTAACGAGATGGTTGTTTCAAACCATATAAGGACTTGCATAAACGACAAACCATATTCTCCCCTTGTCTACAAAGTCCAGGAAGAAGGTCCATATAAATTTCTTCATGAAGATCTTCGTGAAGAAAGGAATTATGGACATCCTTTTGATGAAGGGACCCGTCACATATGGCAGCAATGGACAAGAAAGTCCGAACAGTGACATGCTTGGCTACTAGACAAAAGGTGTCTTGGTAATCAAAACCTTCTCTCTGGGTGAAACCTTTAGCAACGAGACGAGCCTTGTAACGCTCAATGGATCCATCAGCACGGTGCTTGATCTTATAAATCCATTTGTAACCAATGGGTTTCCTGTGAGAAGGACGAGCAGCAAGATCCCAGGTATGGTTCTAAAAGAGAGCACTGAGTTCATTGGCCATGGCTTGAAGCCAATGTAAATGGGGAACAACTTCAGAGTAACAAGAAGGCTCTTGTTGGGCAGAAATCTGATTGATACAAATCCTGTGGGCAAGAGATAGTCGATCATAAGTAACATAGTTGGAAGCAGGGTAAGTAGTACCTGTGGTAGTCTGGATGGTAGGATAGACATAATCTTCTGTCCAATAGGTGGGCGAGTGACCCTTGTGGAACGTCTCTAAGGAGGAACAAGAACAATAGGAGTATTATCTAGTGGAGGTGGATTGGGAAGCTGGTTCTCTAGAGATGGATTAGGAGATGGACTAGGAAGCTGCTTCTCTGCGAAAACTAGTTCAGAGGTCAACTTGGAGGGTCCCATATCTTGAATGGGATGCATGGTATAATAGGGTCTTGATAGGTCCGCTATTGAAGGATCTTCCAAAAAAGGTGGAGACTGCGAGGATTCATTAGAGGGGGACCTGTCTAAAAAAGGAAAGGAATCTTCATGAAAAACCACATCCCTAGAAACCAGGAATTTCCCTGAGGTGATATCATATAGTCGATAACCTTTCTGATGCATTGGGTTACTTATAAAAACACATGAAATAGCCCGAGGAGAAAATTTATCATGCCCCCTTAAATTTGTAGAGTAGCATAAACACCCAAACACTTGGAGGTGATCAACTGTAGGTGGTTTACCAAAAAGAACTTCATAGGGTGTTTTGCCATCTAGAACCCGACTCGGCATCCTATTAATCAGGTAGGTGGCCGTGACCACACATTCGCCCCAAAGGGTAGTAGGGATGTTGGCTTGGTGTTTAAGGGCACGAGCGACCTCTAAAAGATGTCAATGTTTCTGTTCAACTATGTCATTCTGTTGAGGGGTATAGACACAAGAACTTTCATAGATAATACCAAGAGAGGAAAAAATATCTGAACATTGAGTGTTGAAAAAATCCCTAGCATTACCAGTTCGAATTCATTGAACTGAAAGATTAAATTGGGTTTTGACCATGGACAAAAAATGTCTGATGTGAGTGAGTGTCTGGGTTTTAGATTGCATGAGGTAGACCCAAGTTCCTTGAGAGTAATCATCAACGATGGTAAGAAAATATCTAGAGCCATCGTGATTGGCTGTGTGATATGGACCCCATATGTCCATATGAACTAAGGACCCCATATGTCCATATGAACTAAGAAAAATTTATGGGTTGTGGAAGGCATGTGTTTGGAAAATTTTGTGCGGGACTGTTTTGTAAGGGGATAAATAGGACAATTGGGTTGCGAAATAAAGGCACTATGACCCAAACGTTGATACAAAATAAAAGAAGTTTTATTAATGTTTGTATTAAAAGAACTTTTATTTTTAGTAATACAAGATACTGAGTTTGTAGCATCAGAGGCATTATCCAATAATAAAGGCCTTGGTGAACTTTACCCGAGCCCATCAGATTCCTAGTCAAACGGTCCTCAAATTCACATTTGTTAGGAAAAAATTTTAAGACAGAGATGAGATTGAAATGGAAAGTAGGAACAAACAAGACATTATGAAGGATTAAATGTGTATTTAGATGAACAGTTCCTAATTGGGTGGCTGGTGCATGTGTACCATTTAGCATGCAGACTGATGGGTAGGGTATAGGTGATGTGTGGGAAAAATGTTTGGGATCACAAACGATGTGGTCACTGGCCCTTGAATCAATTATCCAAAAATTTTCTTTTGTAATATTAGAACAAAAAGATGTACCTGCATAAGATGTTGCATTGGCCTGTGGACTTTGATTTAGCATTTGCAGGATTTGACGATACTGTTCTTGGCTAAACATAAGGACCGCAACGTTATTCTCAGAACTGACAGGGTGACTTACTTGATTGGCAATGGCCAATCCAGATCGTTGATTTTGGTGGCGACCATGTAGTTTCCAACAAGTGTCTCTCGTGTGGTTTCTCCTCTTGCAAAAATCGCAATAACGATTTTTGTTGGACTTGAATGGCCCATGAGAGGAATTAAAATTTGTGGAGTGGATTGGGCTATTTCCCGAATTTGGGCCAGCTGTAAAACTTGGGACATTTCTGGAATTTGGGCTAGCAACCAAATTTGAGCGCAAACTGTTATTAAGCCCATTTGATTGTGAGCCATTGGATAAGAAGGTGAGATCTGGGCCATTAACTCCTCTATACAAAAGATGGCTTTCCTTGTCAGATTGCCCTTCTTTTCATTTCCATGTTTCATCTCTGGTGGTCTAGTTTGCCGCCGTTAGGGATTGACTATGAAAGCAGCAGCTTCATTATTGGGTTGGGATTCAGATGAAGTCGATCTCTAGCTTTTGTCTTGCATGGCCAATTGGTAGGTGCGTTGGAGAGATGGCGTTGGTGATGTAGCCAACATCTGTGTTTGAAAAGCCAAAAAACTATCATTCAAACCAATAAAAAAATGTACTAACTTGTTTTGATCTTTTAGGTGCTTGATTTGGTGAAGAATCTTGAAGGGCCCTTCAATCGGTTCTTCAACAGCATCGAGCTCATTCCAAATCGCCGAAAGGCGATTGAAATAAACTGTGACTGGCAGGTTGAGTTGTTTGATTTCAAGAAGATTTTTACGCAAAGTAAAAATCTTTGCGAGATCAAGTTTACCGTACATCTCTCTGATGTTTGTCCATATTTCATGTGCGTTTTCTGTCTGAGGCAAGCCAGTAGCAATCTCCTGGGTTAAGGAGTTGCTGATCCAGGTGCGAACGAGAGTATTGCGCTGAATCCAGTGCTGGATCAGATGCGGTTCAGTGGGTAATTTTGAGATCTGGCCAATGGTTGTTTGACGAGCACAAGTTTAGAGCCATCGAAAACCGACGAGAAAAGGGCATCCCCTGGTTCCGGTCAACCGGTGGAGGCTGGAAGGATTTGGAAGATCGGGTAGGGATTTTGACCTGTCGGGTTAGGGTTTTGACCCATAAACACGAATGGAAATGGGCCAGGTTGAAAATTGAATCCAAGTTGTTCGTTGGGCTCTGGTGGATGATTTGGACCAGTGTGGATGTTTGGGCCTGTTGGAGTTTGGTTGTGTGGGCCTTTATTTGTGGCTTTAGATTCTGAGTCTAGTTCAATTGGTGTTTTGGTTGGCTCCATTTTGTGATGTTTGAAAAATCTAATCCTATTGCCTTGGTTTGTAGGTTTAGAGAAACAATGGCTTAGAGAGGATTGTAGCGGAAGCAAAGGTTAGCTCTGATACCATGTCAGAGTTTGAGATTGAAAGTGGCAAAAGAGGCAGAAGATTGCCGAAGCATGCCTACAAAGGAAGCTTGATAAAAGGGCATAAATGAAGACCAAAGAATATTAAGCAAAGAGAGAAATTTTGTAATTGTATTTCTTGAATTGTAATGAGTACATCAGCCAATTTAGGGGGTGTTTGTCTAAGCTTATAAGCTGATCAAATTAGCTTATAAGCTCTAAAATTAAACTGATCTGTTTGTTTATAACTTTTTTAAGCTTATAATTTGAGCTAGAAGCCAAAAAAAAAAAAAAAAAAAAAAAAAAGTTGGGGGAGGTATATATTATAATATATTTTGCTTATAAGCACTCTGCTTATAAGTAGTTTGACCAAGTATATTACTACATTATCTTTGTTTAATTTTAAAATTCTGTAATACGCTTATTTAATGTAGTACTTTTTTAGTAATTTTATAATAAAATGTACTTATAAACCACTTTTACCAAACACGTCAACTATTATCAGCCACTTATAAGTACTTTAACCAAACACTTAAATTTCAAATGGTTATAAACACTTGTGCTTTAAACTAATTTTCATAAGCTAAGACAAACACCCCCTTAGAATATAATAAAGGTAATGAAATAATACAGTAACGGAAATGCAATAAGCTCTTAATTAAAAAATATACAATACAATCAAATAATTGTAAATTAATAATTGCTTGATTCATCATAAATATCTTCTGCTCCATATTTCATTACTTTGCAATGGAATATATGTTATTGGAATTAATTAATTTATCTTGTTGTTTGACATTGTTGTAGTGAACATGAACTTCTCCGGAGTCGAGCTCAAAAGTATCTTCGTAATGGGGTCGACCGCTACGGGAAAGACCAGACTCTCCGTTGCCCTTGCTACTCAGTTTTCGGCGGAGATTATCAATCTGACAAAATCCAAGTTTACAAGGGGCGGATATCATACCAACAAAGCTCTTCCCATGAAAATCGTGGTGTACCTACCATTTGTTAGGGTTCTGGACCCTGATGAAGATTTCACAGCTCAAGAATTTTGTCGACATACCATGATGACCATTCATCGTATTATAGAAAAGGGTCGTATCCCGATCATCGTAGGTGGTTCGAACAACTATATCGGAGCTCTCGTAGAAGATCCCACTATACAGTTTAGAAAAACTTTGATTGTTGTTTTCTGGATGGATGTATCATTACCTGTTTTGCACAGGTCGTAGGCAAACGGGTTGATAACATGGTTGAAATGGGGTTAGTGGATGAAGTCAGAGAAATGTTTGATCCTGAGGAGACTATACGCGGGGAGTCCGCGAGCTATGGGGCTCCGGAGATGCACAAGTACCTGGAAATTGAGGTCATGACATGGTTGATGAAACCACTAAAAGGATCTTACTCAATGCTGCTATCGAAGAGATCAAGGATAACACCTGTAAATTGGTGAACAGTCAGCTTGAGAAGATTCGAAGACTTAGAGATGAGCTCGGGTGGGAGATTCACCGGATTGATGCGACTCCTGTATTTGACAACAATGGGAAGAAAGAAGCAGAAGAAGCATGGGAGAATGCAGTGATGAAACCTAGCTTGAAGATAGTTGGAAATTTTTTGAAAGAGAAGAAGAAGAGTCATCATGTTTGAGTCTTCTACCTACTACTTTCAAGTCTTATTCTCGAGTTCGTCAGGGAATTCCAATGGCGAATTAGAAGGACAATGAGATACGAATATCAGTCTCTCTATTATGTAATAACTAGTGAGTAATAAATGATGGATTCTTCCTGTCCTGTAATAAAAATGAAGTATGGCGTCTTCATTTAGTCCACAATAGCAATATATTTTATTTGGTTTAATATTATTTTCCTTAATTTCAGATATACACACACGCGTGGTTTTTTTTTTTTTCTATTGGGGGTGTCCGATTCAGCTTGTGCGTATCTTGAATAATCTCCTGGGACCTTGAAGTTAATGACCCGATATCCTTCCGACAGTTATGTATCTAGGATTTTTAGAGAATGGCTTTAAAACGTTTAAGTTAATAAATTTACAATAAAATGTTGTGGGGTCAAATTGTAAATATTATAAATACATCCAAGACCTCCAATGTTCACCTTTATTAACAATCTAGAGGAATCGAACTCAAGACCTCTTGAGCAATACATCCAAGGGTCCCTATCACTCCATCATGTCACCCAGAGGTGGTTCACACACACAAGGGTTATCATCCTTGCATGATTTTATGAAATATGAGAGGAGGTAATTGATAAATTCTAATATCTATAGAGTCTTGCTTATATTTCCTTAAACCTGAGGGTATACAAGAGACAATAAACCTAATAATTATGTGACAAACATATTATGAACATGTTATTTAATGTTGTTATTGAAGATATACTTGTAAATTACCTAAATTAATAATGTGATTTTTTGTTCCATATATGTATTTTTTATTTGGTTAATATTATTTTCTTAATCTGGGATATGGCAGGTTTAAATGAAGAGTAATATAAAATAAAGGGGCCAAAACCGAATGTTCAATGTATCTAATTATCTATACATAATTTTATCATATTATACTCTTAAATTCTAGTTGCTTTTACTTAAAAAGAAGCAGGTAATTTCCCATTAATTTGGGCACCCTAATTTTAAGGAATTTAATAACGTATTATAATTCGTACTTATATTCATTAATTTATATTTTAATTGAAATGCTTATATATAAAGATGAAATCTTTAAAGGGAAGAGTTAAATAAAAATTTAAAATTTTAAGAAAAATAATAGATACATATATGACTTTTTAGGTATATAAGATTTGTTTAAAACTTTCCTTGTAATTTGAATATGCCATTTTTTTTTTTAATCTAATTTATTAATCATCATAATATGGGCAAACAAATCACTGTTTTTTTTTCTTTTAACCAAGGTGTCCGAACCAGCTTACGCACACCTCGATCTATCCTCTAGACTAATCCTCGTGGGGGACTAGCGGCAATCGATTGTTACCGCCTCCACTTAAATCTTGGGAGTCAGGAGGATTCGAACCTGAGACTGTGCACCTTAACTACATCTCTCAACACTCATCCTACCACTTGAGCTGCCCAAGGGTGGGTTCACTAATCTTTTCAAAGCACAAAAAATTTAGGTAGTTATATCATTAGTCATTCTTTATTTTATTTTATTTATTTATTTTTGGTGTAGAGTAATTTTTTCTTAATTTTCAATTATATATAAATTATAATTGGGCATGACAAATTACATTTTTTTTTTTTTTTTTTTAAGGGTATTTGAGATATCCATACCTACATTGGAGTTTGCCTAGTCCTTAGGATCACGGAATACCCCACAAGCCCAATAGACCAAGGTAATTGGACAAATGTGGTAAACACCTCTCCTGCGACTCAAACACAAGACCCCCTGGGTATAGCTGACTCCAGTGGATAAAAGGTTTACTATCTGGCCACAAGGGGAGACTCTTTTGCAGTATTGTCAATATGGACTCCTTTAACGAAGTTCAAAACAAGGTTATTTTTCTAATGGGATCAATGGGCATTGGAAAAAACCAAACTTTCCATTTTGCTAGCCACTTATTTTCCAATGGAAATTATCAATTCTGACAAAATTTAAGTTTACAAAGGTCTTGATATTATCACCATTTATTAGGGTTTAGGCGTCTCACCACTTATTAGGGTTTTATAAACCCTAATGAAGATTTAATAGTTCAAGAGTTTTGTCACCTTAACCCTAATGACCATTCATTGTATTATACAAAACAGTTGTATCCCGATCATTAGATGGTTCCAACAACTATATACATAGCTCTCATGGAGGATCCAAGTTGTATTCTCTGGTTGGATGTCGTTTTACCAACTTTTGTAGCGAAAACGAGTTAATCAGTGGTGGAATTAGGGTTAGTTGATGAAGTCATCAGAGAAGTGTTTCATCCAAAAGCCACCTCTGTGTTTGAGAAAAACGATCGGGAAAGAACAAAGAAGCAGAAGAAGCCTGGGAGAAAATGGTGATGGAAACCTATATTACAGTTCATTATTGGTGGATTCTTGAAGAAAGATATGGGATCTAATAGGTCGGGCTTTGAAGCCCATGAAACACACGATCTTAGAGGCGGTTGGTTTACGTGGCTTCAACTTCAACTTATACGACACACAGTCGGCAGAGGGAGGTCTAAAAGTTGGAGATTAGCTGCCACAAAAATTGGTGACGTCATAAGTCTCACTTCGGAATTTTATTTTATTTTTTATTATTATTAGAGAAAACAACTTTTTCTCACCCAAGGTTTGCCTTAATGACACCTTCCTACCTAAAAAGTTTCAAAATACTATTTTTTCACCCAAAGTTAAGATTTCGTTGCTACCTAAAGCCGATTCCAATGCCAAAAATGCTCCTCATCATCACCATTTAACCTTCTGATCTCTTCTCTAGAAAACCTCTCTCACTACGGCACCTGATTTCTCGTTGATTGTCAACCACCGCAAAGCTAGGGTTTCATGTTCATAGCTAATTTTTGGATGATTCCAAGGGCGAACATTCTATCAACCACTACCATTTGATCCATTGGCATTCACTCTACAAAAACCCTCTTACCCTGTCTGTCTTTTGTTGTTTTATTAGTTATTACCACTCTTCTTGGAGCTCAAGCTTCCAACTTCCTTACCTCTCTAAACTTTTATAGTTAAAAAAAAAAAAAAAAAAAAAGTAAAATCACTTTCTCCAATTTTGTAACCATTTCATTGAGTATATTTAAACGATACAGTTATCTTAATGTGTATCTTTAGAGCAAATATATACATATATATTTTGTGACCGAAGGTGTCCAAACTAGCTTACACATACTTCAAATAATCCTCTGGAGTTGTAAAGTTAACTACTAGTAGACTTTCCAGTGGCCACTCCTATTAGTAACTAAGGAGAATCGAAAACCTCTTCAGTACTACATCATGTTAACACCACAAAGGAAAAAAAGAGAAAAGATTATTTTCATACATTTTATTTATAAACAGATAGTAAAACCTAATTTAAGATGTATTGATGCAATTAATTTTTTGTTAGTTTGTAGTCTCGGTGTCTACTTCTAATATTAGATTCTATTTAACCACCATTGGATGACCCAACGATCAACTAGGAGTCTTGAGTGTATTACTTAAGAGGTTTTGAGTTTGATCTATCTGAGTTGCTAATAGAGATGACCATTGAGGGGATTTACTTGGCTGTCAATTTCAAGACCCCGAGGGATTAGATGAGGTATGCGTAAGTTGGCCCAGACACCCGTGATCACCAAAAAATATATATATATATATATTAGATTCCATCTTTCTGTATATTAATATCCTTGTTAAGGATATTAACCACGTCAAAAAAATGTTACAAAATTTTATATTTTCATAAAATTTAACCTAATAAATTAAATTACTTTCACGTTGTTTTTGCTTTTGACAATGTAAAAGCACTTTTTAGAAAAAGTGCCTTCTTTCATTCTTTCTGTCTGGCTAGTTATAGCTAGTGGTTTTGGTTTGGTAATAGTTGCTTAGCCCTTTGAAACTGCAAAAGAAAAGAGGTACTCTAGAGAGAGAGTGAAAGAAACATATTGCTTTCCGCGTTTTCCACCATGTCCATCCATATATATATATATATATATATATATACAAATACCTTCCCATTTCACCATTTCTCTCATGCTTGCAAGCTATTCTCAAATCTCGATAATTTCGAACATTAATTCTTGGCCCTTAGCGGTTTTAAATCTCTTTAAGCTTCTTCGTTCACCTCTTGTTTCTCTTCCTTCCCTTTTTATCAACCATTTTGCTTCTCTAATCTTTCCCAAACTTTTCTCTCGTCTTCTTCTTCTTCTTCTCACTTATCTCTCTCTCTCTCTGGGTTTTGTTTTTGATCCAAGCTATGGGGGGCAATATGAGCAAGAAGCCCGCTGAAGCTTCTTCTTCCCAATTCACAACTGAACTCATCTCCTATGAGGCCGCTTGCCGTCTTGACGCCGACTTGCAGACCTTCGACACCATCTTGCAGGCGCGAACCAGTCACGTAATCAATACTCTCACCGTTGGCGTTGAAGTTTGGGCTCTATCATTTGATTCTCTGAAGGAGATTACTGAGTGTCTTCTGGAGATGAACCAGGAGGTGGTTAAGGTTATCTTGGAATGTAAGAAAGACATTTGAAGAGTCAGGAGTTGTTCGAGCTGGTCGAGGAGTATTTCGAGAGTAGCCTGCAGACGCTGGATTTCTGTACTTCATTGGAGAAGTGCTTGAAGCGCACTCGGGATAGCCAGTTGCTGATTCTGGTGGCCCTGCAACAATTCGAGGAGGAGAATAATGAGATGGGAGCTGGGTAGAGGTATGTGAGGACTCTTGAGGAATTGAAGAATTTCAAGGCTGTTAGGGATCCTTTCACTGAAGATTTCTTCCAGATATTTCAATCTGTTTATAAGCAACAGATATCGATGCTCGAGAAACTGCAACAGATATCGATGCTCGAGAAACTGCAATTGAGGAAGAACAAGCTTGATAAGAAGCTGAAATACATCCATTCTTGGAGGAAGGTTTCAAGTATAATATTTGTTGCTACTTTTGCTACTGTGTTGATTTGCTTAGTCGTGGCTGCCCCACCTGTTGTAGC